TAACAATTTCTAAGTCATGATAATCACCCATGAATATAAATTCCTTCGAGATAGGCTCATAAGTGCAAAACTAATCTTGTGGAGGAGTCATGTGCAATATTGCTCTCTTATCTACTATCCAAACACTAGTGAATTGTTTTTCACCTTTAGAACTAGTAATTGCTTCGCTATATATAGGATTTCTCCATTATCAAAGGAACTCACAACACATCCTTAAGAGGTTGTTGCTTCATGAGCTTTCTCCTTTCCCTTCTTATAGTGCCAACAATCTTTCTTCAAGTGTCTTTTTTTTGCTACAATGGTAGCATTTGAAAATTTTCTTTCCTTGAGACTTTGATATACCATGACTTTAACTCTCGCTAAAGTCACATTTCATTAATCTACCTCTCATCACCATTAAAAACTCTACTTGCTTTGAACTTTTCAACCTATCTTCTTTATTTTTATGCCTAAATTCCTCTTCAAGAATAGCTCTGGTGACATCATCAAAGGATAGATGGTTGACAATATTATTATTTGTTATGTTGATGATAAGTTGATCATACGAATCTAGTAAACTCTGAAATGAAAGCTTTGCAAGTTCATTTTCTGCTATGTTAATGTAATTTGTTACCAAAGTAGATTCACTCATTCAGAGAGTATAAACTCTCTTTTTCAAGAATTGATAGCATTCCAAATCTACTTTGCCCATCTTCTTCTCCACAATACTTGACAAGACTAAGTTTGTGATTGTTAGGTATAGATTGACAACAATGTCATTCATTTCCTTTCACTTGTCATTAGAAATTTCTGCAAGTTTATCTTCAATTGCTACTAAACAATTATCCATTCTTAAAATTTTCTTTATCTTCAATTTCCATAGAGAGAAATTACTCATTAAATTTTTCATTTTTAAATTTTACTGCTATTTTTTTTAATGAACCAGCTTACACAATTTCACCGTGAATAACACAGCATGTGTTAGTAATATTATATATATTAGCATACACTAGAACAAATCCAAAATATATTAACAATCAGTTCAAAAGTATACTGTAAAGCCCCGAATTTCGATAATATTATTTATTGTATTTATATAAATCTAAATGTATATTCATGTGTATATTTTTATATATATGTTGTGAATATGTATATGTGCGTGTGTGTGTATATATATATATATATATGTGTGTGTGTGTGTGTGACTGGTTGGGCTAAAATGGGCTAAGTGCCTAAGTACAGGGCGAGATATTGGGCTGTTCTCGCTGCAGCAAGAGGATTCTCGTTGTAGCGAGAGGGCCCTCGAAAGAAGGATTGAAATTGTCACTTTCTCGCTGTAATGAGAGACGCCTCGCTGTAGCGAGAGAGCGACAGTTTGGGGTGCAGTATCTCTATAGTGAGATTCTGCAAAAACTAGAGTGCAGTTTTCTCTGATTTTTTCGCTGTAGCGAGAAGGCGTGTCGCTGCAGCGAGAATATCTCGTTGTAGCGAGAGTGTCGCAATCAGAAAAGGATTTAAAGGGGGTTAGGTTCGGGGAGAGTTATTTCTCCCTCTCCCTTCGATCCTCTCATTTTCCAAAGCCCTATTCCACCAATTAATTGTCTCCAAAGTCGTTTGGGAGCTTGATTGAATGGTAAATCCGTGTGGAGAACGCTTGGAGATGAGTTTTAATGGTTAGGATTCTGTTTCTCATCCCCAACTCTCTGTTTCTCAGTTTCTTGTAGTTTTCATGGAGTTATTCCATGTATTTTAAGCCGAAATCTGTATAGGGAGCACATACGTGGTCAAATCCGAGTGTGGGTCTTCAATCTAAGGTAAAGGGAGACTCTACCTATCTCAATGTGTTGTAATTTTTGTGTGCTTTGTTGATTAATGCTATGTGGATGAGATAGAGAGTAGAAATTGCGTGTTGAATGAAAATTGATGTGCAATATGATGTGTGCTGGAATAATTAGGCCCCGCGGGGGTGATTGTGTGTGATGGAATGCCATTGATTAGTGAATTAATGATATTGTGAACAAATGTAGGCTCGAGGGCCGTGTAATATAGATAAATATTGGTTATGTGTCGTGTAATGTGAAATGAATGTGGGCCTAGTGCCGTGTATTTGAATGCAATGTGAGCTGTGTGCCGTGTGTAAGCATGATTATTGCATGCGTGAGTGGAATATGTGTGAATGGGCATATTAACGCCGTTGTAACATGTTGTGAATGGCTTGGGGAAACACTGGGGGTGTGGAAGATGAGGACGGTAGAAATATCTTGGGGAAGAGGGAGTGGTGGTGACACCAACTGCGAAACAAGTACACTACGGGCCACACACTCTCTTCCTGACTAGACCTCTGACTATTACTTTTGCTGAGTGACCCGTGATTGTCCACGTGGTATCCGTGAGGCGGGGTAACCGGCGACCATTCATGGTATAAATATGTGATCACAGTGCTATAGTAAGTGTGACTGGTGTGCGTATACATGGATTTGTGTTTTGTACTTATGGATGTGAATTGTTGCCTGTGATTGTAGTTATTAATGTTTTGGAGATGTGCTGAAGGTGAGACTCTATGCTAGTTGTGTGTTTTTGGGTAGTGTAGAATACTCACTTTTACATTCATTTTTCAGGTAACCAATACGATCAGCACCAGGCTCAGTGAAGGGACAGATGGACTGCTATAGGACTTAGATTTTATTTTGAAAACGTTGTAATTGAACTAGTCCTGTAACAGTTATTTGATATTAACTTGTAACATACACTTATTTCGAAATCTTTTATGAAAATTTGGTTATCCGATTGCGAAATCATTATTTAATTGAAATTAAAATTTAGGTGTTACATATACAACCATATGTGTGAACGGTAACCATGAATAACACCGCATTGGGAACAATAACAATCAATGAGTTTTGATATCTTTGTTGGATACTAGAGTATCAAAATATTATGATGCAGTTAAAGTAAAAGTTGAAAAAAAAATGACACAATATTTATAGTGAAAAACCTTAACAAAGAAGGGAAAAATCATATGCAAGATTGTAGAAAAAAATTTTACTATGTGGAAAAAATTACATATCTCTCTAATTACAAGGAGAGAATAACTATACTCTCTTATAAATAGGATAATATACATTCCAAAAGAATCACATGCTTTGTTTGAGAGTTTGAAAGGAAAGAGAAAAAAAAAGTTTAAAGGTAAAGAGTGTTAAATTTCTTCTTTATTTAAATGTTTAATATTGAGAGAGAATAATAAGAAAAAGTTTAACATGTAAATGACATTATTATCCTTTTTATATTTTTTATTCATATATATTTTTTAATTTTTTTAAAAACTACAAAAGTTTAATATTTTTCTCTCTCTAAAAATTAATATTTTTTTTAAAAATTTTTTTTTTTAATTTTTAAAAATTCTCACTCTAAAAACTAATATTTTTTGGAAAAAAATTTATGGTATTTTTTTTATTTTCTTGTTATTCTACTCTAGTCTATTGACCATGCTAAATATTTAATTTAACAAATAAAATATAAATGATAAACTTCACTATATGAAACACTAAAACTTTCTTAAAATGGAGAGTACAATAAAAAATATATGAGGAGAATTTTGGAGAGTTTAGAATAACTCTTTAACCCTTTGTCTCATTTTTAATTAATGTTTAAATAAGAGTCAATAATTATTAATTTTTCTCTTCTCATTTCTTCCCCTTTTAGACATGAAATTCAAATAAAACTTTAAAGAAAAATACTATAATTTTTCTCTCTATATTTTTCTCACACGCAGCTCACTTGTTGTTGCTCTCAAAATTTTCAAATGCATCAAATGGATAGAAGTTGTTGATATTTATAATATTTATAGGAGATGAACTCCTACTAGTTGCCACAAATTCTAACTTCACTGAAAAGCAGATGAAGACTTTGTGCTTTGCCGTTAATGTACCGAAAGTAATGACGGTATATGTTGTAGTCTTTGACAATTTACGAAGTCTACAAAAGTAGCTTTACTGCCACACACGTTCACACATAAGTATTAATCATAATCTACTATGATTGATAAAATTAAATAAAATTTGCTTCTAATTTTTTTAAAATTATAGATATCCTTTAAATGAAAAAGTTTTGTTTAAAAACATTTACATTATAATTGATTTAGGTCTCTCAACCAAAAGTTTTCCATACATAAGATTCAAAGTTAATATCTTATTGAAAAGAAATTATGTATTACCTAATTAATCATTTTAATAAATTTTAATCAGTGTAACAACCTATGTTCTTCCCGCGAGGTCAATTCTTCTCCCATCTTTCTTGCCATTTTCTTCCATAGAAAGATCAATTTTCTCATTGTCTGCTGCCTGTTCCAAACCAATATTAGACCTTCTAACTCTTTTCAGAGTCCATCCCATGGCCAATTCAACTCCGAATTTGGCTAAAAATGTCTCTTAAAGGTAACAGTAATAAAATGGTAAAAATGTCTATGAAAAACTTCTTAAAGTAACTTGTATCACGACATAAATTCTCCTAATCGTCCCAACTCCTTTTTAAAAACCAAAACATTTAATTGGTCTCCTTAATCTAAATGTCTTAACAAGTAAAAAAAAATATTAAGAGTTGAACTGTAAAATTTTTGTTTTAAATTTCTAAACTAGTCACATTTCCATCTTAAAAAGAATTTTAAAAAATCCAGTAATTATTGTGATCATTTTCAAAATTATTATTTTGATGCGTGTCAAAAAACATACAATAAATAAATAGTATTTTTTTTAATTAAAAATTACATCGTTAAAGACCTATTTAGTGAACAAAATATGATAACTTATATCTTATCTTACTTTTTATTCCCACAAAGATTACAAATTTAATCATTTTTATCTTATTTATTTTTAATCTAAGCCTCTGCACAAGATAAAATTTACACTATAAACTTATAATATTGCATTAGTTATATAAATACTAAAAATAAGATGAAATATAAAATGTTATCGTGGTCTAAGTAAATACAGCCTGATCCTGATCCTAATGTTAGATATGCTGCACTTACACTACAATTTTATTGGTTTGTAACACAAGTATAAAAAGTAACTCATGTCTAGCCGAGTGAATACACTTGCACATTAATATTTCTCCGATTCTTTAACCACTAAGGAAACCATCAAATCAAAACACTTGGGAAATTAATAAGATAATTGGTCGCCGAGAAAACCAAAGGAACAAAACTAAATAAGCAAACTCCTTTTGAAAGTAACATTGTTCAAGTAACAACTTGCTCAATGGATGCCACAAAAACCTCTTATTTAGAAACCTATCCTATATTAAGCCTCTACAAAATGTACCTCAATCCAACGTTGGTTGAAACCCAACCATAATAATAATAAAAAGGCACAAACTACAAAGGAATGGGCCACCTCATGTTAGCTCATGCATCATCAAGAGCAAGTACACCAGGGAGTTGCTTCCCTTCAAGAAGCTCTAAACTGGCACCACCACCAGTGGAGATGTGGCTCATCTTCTCTGCCAGTCCAGCCTTCTCAACAGCAGCAACAGAGTCACCTCCTCCAATGATTGTGGTTACTCCCTTCCCACTCAGCTCTGCCAGTTTCTTCGCTATAGCCTGTGTCCACAAATGCTCATGGGTTACAAGTGATTCTAAGTTTATAAGAATAACTTAATTATTCTCATAAACTCTTGTCAGCTTACTTCTATAATTATCGAGTATAATATTATTTCTAAATAAAATAGCTACACATGAACCAAGTACTACAAATTCTCATCCTATACTAGTCCAATATTGAATGAGTGAAAAGGAAAGAGTTGAAGCTTGTCAGTGTAGATTATAAGCTCTTCTATAAAGTCGGTGTAAATGACAAGTAAAAGATAATCTTTTATGCACAAGTTCCTTTCTGTCCCGCATTGAACAAATTAAAAGGAAAGAGACTGGGTTCCGATTATAAATTGAAAACCAAATGATTAGTGGAATAAAAGTTATAATTTTCTTTTCAGGTTTGACCTGTGAACCATGCCCCAATTCTGAGAACTCGAGTAGGTGTGACCAGGCTTATGAATGATCCAAATTAACAAAAGAAATAAATGAATTGACACTACTATACTGAAACAGCCTTGCAATATCTTAAAAAAAATGATGGATGATTCACTGGTTGAACTTTGAATCACTCATACCTCAGTTCCTGCTGCAAACTTTTCAAACTCAAAAACACCCATTGGTCCATTCCAAATGATGGTCTGAGTTGAATCCAATGATTCGCTAAATGTTTTAATTGCATCAGGTCCAATATCCAATCCCATCCATCCATCTGGGATGCTTGATGCTTGCACAACCTGAGAACATATAAACAAAGTTCAAGTCGCATATGAAACACTACTGTAAGAACATGATCATATAGTTATGAAAGAGTGATTTCAATATTTCTCTAACTCAAAAACGGAGAAAAATTGTTGGTGGATCCATAGAACTCCCTAGATTCGATGTTTAACAAACCCCCCATGATTGAACATTTGTTTAAAAAAAGAATAGTCCTCTGAAGAGAAAGGAAGGGGAGTGTAAATACTAAAGGCCACATTATCACAATACTAAACCCAACTCTCACAAAATGCCAGTACCTTGCTGTTAGCATCAGCAGCAAACTTGTCTGCAATGACCACATCAGTTGGAAGCAATAGAGAAACCCCTTTAGCCTTGGCCTTTTGGAGAAGTGTAGTTGCAAGGTCAAGCCTATCTTCCTCCACAAGAGATGACCCAATTGAATAACCCTGAGCCTTGTAAAAGGTATAGATCATCCCTCCACCAAGCAATAGAACATTAACCTTCTCCAACAAGGATTCAATAACACCAATCTTGGTAGACACCTTTGACCCACCAACAATAGCAGCAAATGGTCTCTTGGGGTTAGCCACAGCTCCAACAAGATAATCAAGCTCCTGAAACAATTAAACAAATGACAGATCAATCAACCACATAAATTACCCAACATATAATGGAGCTTAAAATTACTTTCTTCATACCTTCTGCATAAGGAATCCTGCAACAGAGGGCTTCAAGTATTTAGCCACTCCTTCTGTAGATGCATGAGCTCTGTGGGCAGTGCCAAATGCATCATTCACGTAGAGATCAGCAAGAGAAGCCAGCTTCTTAGCAAATTCAGGGTCATTCTTCTCTTCCTCTTTGTAAAACCTCACATTCTCCAAAAGCAAAACACCACCTTCTGGAAGTTGTGCAACCAACTTCTCAACTTCCTCCCCAATACAGTCATTTGCCATCTTAACCTATAATCACGAAAGTGACAAGATAAACAAACAGTAAATCCTGCAAACAAAGGGGGTGGGGTGAAGGGAATGCCAAACAAAACAAAACAGTTTAGAAGGAGCACCTCAATTCCAAGAAGTTGAGAAAGCCTTGGCACCAGAGGCTTCAAACTGTACTTAGGTGTTACACCTTTTGGACGACCCTGAAAAACAGCACACAGTCAAATCATTTTCCAAATCACTACCATTCAGAATCACATCACACTTTTCTGACATTCATGGTCTCTTAACTCTTTAACAATACATCCAAAAGAAGAAATAAAATTAAACTAATATGATAACCCCATAACTATGTTAGATATGGAAACATTCAGATTGATATGCTTCAGGGATCTCATTTAAAAATCTGAATTAAAACCCCAAAAAACTAACTTAATACAAAAACACTTCACCACAAATTGGGATCAATGCCAATCAAACTTAAAGCCATAAAAATTACTTCTTTTCATGAGGCGAAAAAAGAATTTCCCATGTTAAGTGCGACAAAATGGACGAAAACAAATATAGTAAGAGCCATCATTATCTGTGTAGTTACATCAGTTTGCTTTGTGCCTATCAGATTCAAATCCTAGAAAACAAAGTTAACAGTGAAGGACATTGCTTTCCCAATACTATAAAAACACAAACACACACACACACAACAATAACCAATCCAATTAAAACTCAAATTAGAAAGCGCAAATCCAACAAAAACAAAAGCCCATATTCCAAATCATTCATAAACAAAAACAACTCATACTCAGATTCCAAAAACAGAAGAAATGAAAATAGAAAACATACCAAATGGCTAGAAAGGATGACTTTGGCACCATAACCAGTCAAGTACTTGATAGTGGGAACAGCAGCACGAATTCTAGTGTCATCGGTGATGTTAAAGTTATCATCCAAAGGAACGTTTAGATCAACCCTCACAAACACCCTCTTCCCCTTCAAATCACCCTCCTTCAATGTTCCCACGCTCCTCTTCGTCGCCATTTCTCACAAATCTGAATCAAATCAAATCAAAACGAAAAAAAGTATCAATACCCAACAAACGAAACAAGGCAAAGATTCAAACTTTGGTGGCGAAACTCACAACGGGTTTGGTGGAAATCTCAGTGTGGTGTTAGAGATCGGGTTCGGACGACGATATTGCGAGAACGTTCTAGAAGATTTATAAAGAGAAATGGCTTGGGATTCCTGGTGGCACTCGTGCGTACGGCACGTGTGAAGGGGGTTTGTGTTCTTTTAACGTGTTTGGGAACCCTTTCTCTGCGTGGCACGGTGGGCGCAGAGAACTAGAATCTGTGGACCAGAACAAGTATTAGCCAAACATGGCTCATTTTTAAACGCCCAACGTTTTAGGTCCATAGTTTTTTACTTTATGAATTTTGACACTTCTAAAGAAAAGAAAGAAAGTATCGAATTATAAATGTTATTATAAAAATTAACAGTTCAAATTATGGTCAAATTTGCCAACATGAATTATAACTTATTGAAAGAATTTTATTGTTTTCAATTAATGAATAAATATAATTTCATTTTTTAAGCATATTTCATTTTACAAAAGTCAAATTCTACTTTCACAATTTAGAACTGGATTATTCACTTTCTCTTCACTTCACAAATGATTGTCTTTTTCAGCATAAAATGGAAAAAAAAAAGATTTTATTTGATGTTTTATCTTATGTTCTAGAGTGTTAGTTTGGACGAGATTGTTTTTTATGATTATTTGAGAAAAGTTTTAAATTTATTTATTATTTTTCTGTTTCGATGGTTTTGGAAAATCAGTTTGTAACATATAATCATTTTTTTAAAAATAGTTTATTTGGAAAAACAAATTTTAAGACTTATAACTGGCCGTTATTATCTTATTTTTGTAGTTTTGTTTTCATTTTAATTCTAATAATTAATTATTTTAAATATAAATATAATTATCCTACGTAATTTTAAACCCCTTTTATGCAACTTTAAGTCTTTAACATGAAAAAAGTGATTATTTTACGAATTTTAAAATAATAAATTATTTTATAATCACTGTTCACATAAATTTATTTATACATTTATTACAAATTTTTTATGCAATATTATTGAAATAATTTTTTCAACTAAGTCAACCACCACTTAAAGAAAAATAAATTAAATATAGAGTTTTATTTATATAATTTAATTAAAATATGCTAACAATGTCATCTATTTATAAATTATTAATATTAATAAAAAATATTATTTTTTTAGAATAATTAATTTAAAATTTATGTTAACTATATTTTAATTAATTGATAATATAAAAATATTACATTTATAACAAATTAAAATTTTATTTATAATATAAAAAATTAAATTTTAATATTTCCATTTTAGATATTTTTATCCTATTATTATTACTCCAAATTTAAAGTTTCGACTTAAAATTGTTTATTTTTAGAAATAAATTCCTATTTTGATTACTAAGATTGAAAGTATCAATAATTAAATCTAATTTTTAATTTTATAAAATTCTTACTTCGATTTTATAAAATGTTTTTAATATTAAATAAAAGTATAATAACTATCTATTAGGTAGATTAACTGTTAAAAGGCCTATCAACTTAATACATGATTTTGAGTTTGAGTTTTGAGTAAATATATTTAAATATTCAAATAAAAAATTTTAACTTTTATTATGATTCGAACAATATTACAAAAACTATAATATAAAGATTGAATGAATATTTTATAAAGTTTAAAAACGTGTGTTTATAATATGAATAACCAATAATGAAAAGTAGCGACGAGGAGGGACAGGAAATTAGGATTAAAGGTATATTCCATTCAGCATAACGCAATGCTCTTTCCCTTTATTTTTTTTATACTTGTGAGTTTGAAGTTCTTTTAAATATAGTGATTAGCTGCTTTAATCATACGCAATTTGGTGTTGACGTTTTTCCATTTGTGTGGCCCACTGTTCTATTCGTTATGACTCATGTACCTGGCCTCATTACTCAATAAAAATGTTTTTAAAAATTAAATCGATTATTAAATTTATAAAAATATTGATTCACAAAAATATATAATATATTTTTTAGGAAAATATACAATATTTTACAAAATTATAGTTCTTAAGAAAAATTTACACACACACTGTATATATATATATATATATATATATATATATTAATTGGGATCAAATAATTTTTTTGTATGTTAGAAATAAAATTGGTTTTTATTCAAAATATATTATGATGAAATTATACATGTATGTATACCTTGTGATCATTTTTAACAAGTATTAAAGTATAAGTATAAAGGTAGAGCAATATTAAATTAAAAATTGTTTTGATACAAAACAGATTGAAAATATTTTGAAATACTTTTGCATACAAAAATATTAATATTCACCTAATTTCATTATATTTATGTTTTATATTGACAAAAAAAAACATGTAGTAATGAATTATTTTTAATTTGTTTACGATATTAAATATATTTTTATTTTTATTTAATTCTTTCTTTATAAAAAAAAGGAGAACAATATATAAGAAGATTTAGTAATAACACCAATAGGTATCTTGAGGAATGGATGCACATTTAGATTACATGTTATATGTTATATTCCGGGTCAATATAAAAGTCTCTCATTAAGGAAATTTAATTACATGTTATATTTGGGGTCAGGAAAAATAACAAAAAATTTAGCAATTGATTAAAATGATTTAGGAAATTAAAATTCTCATTTGATTGGAAAATTAATTAAGGAGAAAAAATATTTTATTTAATGAATTTAATTTTGATACACTGTCAATAAGATTTTTACACTGTCAATCAATTAAAATATATTATGAATATAATTTGCATATTAATTATTACATAAATAAATAATATTTTCTTATACAATAATTTATGATTGGATGGTAATGTAAAAGTATTTTACATTATTGATGTATTTAAATTATATTCTTATTTAATAAAATAACTAAGAACCTCATATGTTATAATTTAAAAAAAAAAAAAGTCACGAGGGTATGTTTGTTTAATTTTTAAAAAGAGTTTTTTTCTTTTTAAAAATTAAAAATACATTTAATTTTAGTTTTTAAAAAGAAAAAATTCTTTTTAAAAATGTAAACAAACATATTCTTACTTTTCAAAGAAGAAAAACTTATAGCAACTGATCACTCTTCAAAATATAGTTGTTAGTATCCTATTTGCATAAAAGGATATATGAGATATTGAAGTTGATATTATAAGTTGATTTAAATGTATTTTTATTTTTTTTAAGATGTCACATTTTATATTTTCATTTTTATAAAAGTTATAATTTGATCATCTTGATTATTCTTTTTTCGTATAGTTTTAGTTTTGGTTTATTATATTATTTTTTTAAGTATACTTTTCATTTTTTTGGTTATTCTAAATATTAAAAATTTATTTTTTATTTTATCATTTTAAAAAACACACGATTCATGTCTTGAATAACATAATATCTTAATGGACAAATCAAACATAGAACAGAAAAAAGAAAGTCTAAATAAGAAAAGAAAAAACATATAAAGCCCAAATTATACTTTAAAAAAAACACAAAATAGGAAATTTGTAAAATTTGAAGGAATCAACAATAAATATAAAGGAAAATGGTAACAATACACTCTCTAATATACTCTTTTTTATTAACTAAAATTTATTAAAATTTAAAAATTATAAGAGAAAAATATTAATTTAGAAGCAAGAAAGTAAAATTTACATAATTTTTGTAATTTTTAATAAATTTTAACAAATAATAAAATTATGTTGTTGGCATTACTCTAGAGCTAATAAATTATTGAATTCGATGATGAGAGTAAAAATTTATTATATAGAAATTCACTTGGCTGCAAAAGATTATAAAATTCTACACCAATAATCACTAACTTTAATTATGTATAGATAAGAAATATTATTTTTCATAGTCTATTTTACTGTGTTTAAAACAGAAATAGATTATATTAAAATTTAAATCGTGTCTGCTTGAGAGTATTATTATTTGCAACAATAGTTTTGCATTGACCCTAAAGAAAGTAGAACCCAACTTGGAGGTTTTAAAATCCCAATTCCTACAATCAAAACCAGAATAGAAGATAGGCGTGCAATTCTGACGCAGAAATGGAAGCCCTCAAAGTAGGTTCAAAAGAGAAGAATATTGAACCACAGCTTGAATCGCCTGAAGATTATGTAAGAAGCTACAATGATGACATATAACTAAAATTTCCGAATAGTCACTGAAAATGATGCAATGCATGTCAAATAGTATAGGGAACAAGTAACAAAATGCCTAGAAAAAAAAAAGTTATCAAAGAATATGAATCGGGAAGGGGGGTTGATTACGGGTATCAAATCCCACAAAATGCCATTAGATGTTACTGGAAGACATACTCTGAGAAATATGCTACACTTCTGTGGTTTCAATAAATATCTTAATATGCGGTGGACTCATAGTAAGGAAAAAGATGGGATGGTTCTCAATTTTGTGGCTTAGGATCATTGAGAGAAATCATTGAGAGGAAACAAGAGACACAATAGTTTAAGGCTGTGAAGCCTGGTGTGCCGACCGAAGATTATGCAGCTCAGGTTCTTTTCAAGGACCCGTGTGATCCACTTCTTTTTCAATCAATCAATGCCTTCCTCTCCACATACGTGATTTGTCATCCCAAGGCTAAGACATCACCATCAACCAACTACTGGTGGCAAAGAGGTTAGACTAATAAGTCTGGATTCACGAGAGTTCATTTGCTGCCCATCTTTATGAACAGATTGTAAGCTATATCATTGGTTACAATCCCACGTCAACAAGCTCAAGGTATGCAATGGCAGCAAAACTTGATTTTTATTCAAGGATCAGGAGTGTGACATAAGATGAAGCTAAATGTAAAAAGCTTCTGGCAGCAACTAATTATGGATTTATTTCAATTAATGGCTCTCAGCCTGGGTTTACAGTTACACGCAATTTATGTGTGAAGCAAATAACTCAAGCATGATAAAATTTACATTAATAAACTCGGAAGGGTCCTACAACATATGCTCTTTTACAAGATTGAGAGAACACTGACACCGAGGATGGGAAAATTTTCCAAGCCGAAAATTGTCTTACACAGCAACTGGTGTGGCTTCATCAAGAGCAAGGACTCCTGGAAGCTCTTTGCCTTCCAGTAACTCCAAACTGGCACCACCACCAGTAGAAATGTGACTCATGACATTAGCAACTCCTACTTTCTCCACTGCTGCAACAGAATCTCCTCCTCCAATAATTGTGGTCACACCCTTTCCACTTAGGTCAGCCAGCTTCTTTGCAATAGCCTGAAAGAAGGGTAGAAAATGCAAATTATGTGCAGTGTACACATTTACTAGCCAAACAGAATAGAATATGCTGTGGTAACTGCAGATGACATGCTGTAGTTTACAGCTTGTGCAAGTCACATTAGGAAGGCTAACTCCTACATATTTCTGAGAGTATGAATCACTTCAGAGTGGACATTTTTTTATTGACTTCAAATATGCATTAACATATAATATGAACCGAACTCCATATGTGGGCATTCTTGCATACCTCTGTCCCAACAGCAAACTTGTCAAACTCAAACACTCCCATTGGTCCATTCCATATGATGGTTTTGGTAGTATCCAATGCTTCACTGAATGATTTGACAGAATCTGGACCAATATCCAATCCCATCCAGCCATCAGGGATGGCAGATGCTGGCACCACCTGAAAGGATTAATGCATAATTTAAGTTCTTGCTGCAATTGTTTCAGAATGAATAAACCCACATTACAAATGATTGTGTGCTTCATTAATATCTTACGTGGTTCAATTGACCATGTCCCCTAGCCAACATCCTATTGAAACGAAGCTTAGAAAACAAACCTTGCTGTTTGCATCAGGAGCAAATTTGTCTGCAATCACCACGTCACTTGGTAACAACAGGGAAACCCCCTTTGCCTTGGCTTTTGCAAGTAGTGATGTAGCAAGATCCAACTTATCTTCCTCTACAAGGGATGAACCCACTGAAAGACCTTGTGCCTTGTAAAATGTGAAGATCATACCTCCACCAAGAAGAAGGATGTCAACTTTTTCTAGAAGTGATTCGATCACTCCAATTTTAGATGAGACCTTGGAACCACCAACAATGGCAGCAAATGGCCTTTTCGGGTTTGATACTGCCCCAACAAGGTAATCAAGTTCCTAAAACAAGAAAAAATCCATGTAAAAAATAGCTATTATGATATTGATCAAACATACATATAATTTTAAAAAATAAATGAACACTAACTATTTCTTGAATAACGATTTACATTTGAAATGAAATTTTATTTCACATCATATGATCAAATTTACAATAAGATGAATTGAAATAGGAGTGACAGTGACAGTAATGAAGTTCAGGAACTTTAATAGGATAGTTTGCAGAAATTTTGGCATGTCTGCTGATAATAATTTAGCAAAAGAGAAGTGATAAACAGTTAAACACACCTTTTGCAAAAGAAAACCAGCAACAGATGGCTTCAGGTATTTAGTGACCCCCTCTGTTGATGCATGTGCCCTATGAGCAGTACCAAATGCATCATTCACATACAGATCAGCTAGAGAGGCAAGCTTTTTGGCATGTTCAGGATCATTCTTTTCTTCCTCCTTGTAAAACCTCACATTTTCTAGAAGAAGCACACCTCCATCCGGAAGGGAAGTCACCAGCTTCTCGACTTCTGGACCAATACTGTCGTCAGCCTTGACAACCTGTGAATCATCCATATCCAAACACAAAAGAGAAGGTTATTGTAATTATCCACCAAAATTCACAACACTCTCTTCTACGCCTTTAGACACATTCCTCCATGATCAACATATAAACATACCTCAACACCAATTAGTTCAGTAAGCCGGGGTACAAGAGGTGCCAAGCTGTATTTGGGAGTGACACCCTTTGGTCGCCCCTGGAAATTTCATAAAAAGTTGCAATGTTTCAATTTACACGTACAAGTAATCAAACCATAGTGTTCAAACAAATCTACACTGCTTCTACAATGAAACATTGCACTTATATCAAGAAAGCCTACCATCTACATCGCCAAAACTATAACAAAACCAGATTGTTCCAACCGCCCAATAATTTATTTTTTTGACTATTAATCCCACAACTAAAATTAGAAATTGAAATGCTCCATAAATAGCAGCACCCTTGTTCCTGATTGATCCTTCAAAAAGTAACTACTTTCATAGGCATGGACTACAAAATGTAACACCAAGATGGAGAAGAAAAAAAATTTCCTCTTCGAAATACATAATTCAAACAAATTCACTGAAAACTGAAGACCCAAAACCACAACCCAAGCAAAATAAATAAATAAAACAACTTCATGGGTATAAAATAGCAAAAACTCGATGTACCATTATAGATAAAAGAATCCACCGAATGGCTCGTTATAAGATTAAAAAGAAAAAACTCTCTGAACTACATAATTCACATAAATGCACGTTGGAGAAGTGAATTTCTTCTAGAACCAACTCGTATAGAAATTTCAAGAAGTTAATATATTATGTTAGAGTAAGACAATAGATGAGGAATGTGGGAATAGCGAAGAAGGAAAACGACACAAACCAAGTGGCTGGAGAGGATGACTTTGGCGCCGTATTGAATAAGGTGTTTGATGGTGGGAACAGCGGCGCGGATCCTAGTGTCGTCTGTGATGTTCTGGTTGTCGTCTAACGGAACGTTGAGGTCAGCTCTAACGAACACTCTCTTTCCTTTCAACTCCGAAGCACTCAAATCGCCCACACTCTTCTTCGCCATCGATACCACTGCTCTCGCTCCCTTCCCTCCACGAACTGCACCCACTCTCGCCGCCACCGTCGCCGCAAGCAGGGGGTCCGCTGCAGAGAACCCCAGGCTGCGGCGGAGCGGGCGGACGCGGAGGGTGGAGGAGAAGTGGAGGCGGGTGGAGGAGGAAGAGGTGGTGGAGGAGGAGGAGGCAGTGGTGGAGTGGAGGAGGGAGAAGGTGGTGGGTGCTGCGGCTGAGGCCATTGTAGAGGGAGAAAGAGAGTGAGTGTTTGTGTGTGGGAGAGAGTTAATCTGAACGAAGCGAAGAAAAGAGGTTTGGATGTATTTTATTATGAGTGAGAGAGAAAGAGATGAAAGATGTGGACGTGAAGTACAAAGGGGGAACGATTGGGTATGGTGAGGAGATTTTGGATTTCTCTTATCACTGAGGAGAGGTTCATGATCTTCCTTGCTTTTCACTCGTATTTTCAACTCCCTTCTTTTCCTTTTCCTTTTTATCTATTTTAGTAACTTCAATCCTTATATTAAAAAAATATTAATATTATGATATTAAAATTTAAGTATTTAAAAATCATTTTTTATTATAAATAAATTATTTATTACATATTTAAACAAAACTTGTGTCTCTAAACTGAAAAATATAGTTTTAAATTTTTTTATTAAAATTTAGTTCTTAGTAAATTAAATGAATAAAAATTTAGTTTATTTAGAGTTGTCACGTGATAAATACAAGATAGATCATTTTTATAACGTTAAATTAACTATTATAATTTCAACTTAGTGCTTTGACATATCAAGTACTTAATATTCTATATTCTAATTAGCATATAATTGTCCTACTCCACATACCATTATCTGAATCGTCAACTTAAAATTGTTATTTTATCGTTATTTGTTATTGTTTACAAGCTCATCTTCTTCACATAACTCACTAGCAACCAATCGAAATATAACAAGGACCTTTTATATCAACAATTCTTATTTGGTCATGTTTGTACGCCATTATTAGATTTTGAGTTTGTATCACTTGCAACGATTGTATACTGATTAGAATAAGGATATGTTGAATATTTGACATGTGATAATACTAAGTTAAGATTCTTAAAGTCAAATGCAATAATTTTATAATGACAAAAAATATATTCAAGTATTTGTTTTAAATTTATTTTGAATATTGGATGTTGAATAAGATAAAGATATAATATGTTTAATATGTGACAGGATTGAGTTAAAATTTGGTTAATCAATCCAACATTTAATTTTTTACAGAAAGTTAATGTGGAGTTAATTTTTTATTTACTTAATTTGTTAGGGGTTGAATTTTAACATTTTTTTAAAAAGACTAACTAATTTATTAGGATCTAAATTCTCTCTGATTATGTCAAAAATTATACTATGCAATATTTATTTACTTAAACAAATTTTATAAAATATTATTAAAAAAATATAAAATTTGTTTAAGCAAATCATACACTTAGAGCTAAAGGAACCATGCTAGATTTTAACTAAAAAAGTGTGTTTTTTTTTTCTTAAAAATAAGTAATTCAGGAAACATACCACATTGTGATTCCCTTTAAACTACACATATCCGAATCTCTCCCCTTCTTTCCACTATTATGATCAAATTAAGCTCTTCATCCATGAATCTCAACTTTATCTCTACACCAATACATGCATCAATTATTCTTCTTTTAAAATCTTGATGGACACTCTTTCAACCTCTCTTAGCAAAGTACTCACTCACCACTACCTCTTTGCTAGAAGATTGAGATAGATTCAAGGTGGTTACATGCCACTCCACTAGTAATGCCCTAGGGGCACACTTCTTGTGTAAGCCACTTGGGATCATAAACTTAATATGGAAGATTCTTGAGATTATAAACTCAATTTGGAAGATTTATGTGTTGTCACTCCCACCTATATTGTGGAATAACATGCTAAAAATTCTATGATGTCCCAATTGAGGAAAGATCCTTGTTAGTGGGACAATTGAACCTTGGACCCTTACAATGCTGGATGAAAATATGAGTAGTATCACACAAAGAGAACGTGATTTACTTAAGTTTTGCATCCAATCTCATTCTTTATGCCCCAAACACAAGATTTCCTTAAAATTTTGCATACTTGTTGTGTTAGTTTATAGGATTTGCTTAAGTGAATCAAAATTGAATAATCTAGTTTTTACTGCAACTGAAAAAGATCTAGATCTAAATTAATAGTCATCAATGTATTAGTATTTTATTTTAAAAGAAAATATATAATTTAATAATTAAATAATAAAATTTATATTTTTAAAAATAATTATATATAATAAAATTATTTTAAAAATAACCATTTAAAAATATTTCAACTTAATTCTATAACCACAAATAATATGCATCAAAATGATAAAGGTTTAGTAAAATTAAATAATTTTAAAATATAAATTAAAATAATATTTTTATCATATAGTATAAATTTTTTTAATTAAATGTTAATAATCAACATATATTAGCAACTATAAATGTAGGAGATAAGACTCTTAAAAGTAAATTCTAAACTAAAAACTAATAATTTTTATAAATGTATAAATATATATTTATAAAAATATAAAAATTTATAAAAAGTAATAAGAAAAAATTAAGTAATAACTTAATCTCTAAAATTTAGAATGAAGTTAACAAAGATATGAGTAAGATGTAAAATAATTGCATTAGAAAAAACTATAATTTATACATTATTTTCAGTCAATTTTAATTCTAAAATATACTCATGGCAAAATGTGAAGGAGAATAACTCTACTAATGCTTCACTTTTTAAATTATTAACTTTTTTATTTATAATAAAGAGGTTAATTTCACGTATTATAACTTTTATAAGGATAGAAAATTTATGTAAACCTTATTACATTGAAGATACATAAATACAATAAATATTTTCTTATTAAAAATACTACCATTGAATGTTTAAACTTAGTTTTCTTTCCCTTCAAACTCCAACTAAAATATTCTTTTTTCTTTTCTTTCTCTTACCCTTGTTTACACATCTACAAAGTATTCTTCACCTTCTTCAAACTTCAAAAATTTTCTTATTTTTTAGTTAGTTTTTATTTAGGTCATGAAATCATAAGAGAAGGATTGGAGTGAGACAACGACGATGGTGTTAAGGTTGGTACGATGCCACTATGGTTGCTTAACTCTTCATTTTCTCCTATGACCTCACAATACAATTGAAAAATTCATCATAAAAGAGAAAAGATTCTTAAAGTTCAAAAGAGAAAAGGGTATAAATAAGGGCTAAAAAGATAAAGAGAAAAGATAAAAGTTTTGTAAGAATTTGAAGGGTGGAGTAAGAAAAAATAGGTCATGGAGGTGTGAATGCAAGATAAGAATAGAGAAGAAGAAAAAAAGGCATCTAAAAAATTTGCTCATAACATTTATATTTTTTTTTATTGGAGTTCACAAGAAGAAAGAATATGAATAATAATATTTTAATGATATTAATATTTTTGATGAAAAATAAACTTATTTAAAACACTTTAGTAAGTTAAGGGAATGTAGCCAAAAAAGTTAAAAGATTAAAGTAAAACAAAACCAAAATTAAGAGACTAATATACTAATTTAGCTCATGTATTATAAACAACTTATCATCTTAAATTTTAAAGAAATTAAATGAGAGAACTTCTAAAAAATAAAGAAATATAAATTGTTTATAACTTGGTTGATAAATTTTGATTAGTTAGTATAAAAACTTTTTTATAAAAGTTTATCAAAATTGATTTTATATTGGATAAAAATTTCCTCCTTTAATTTATCATTGATTCTTTGTTTGCCGGTTGATATAGGTTCATCCTTATACTATTTTGAACATGCTTTATCCACTATGTAAAGTGAAACTAGGGGAGTTAAGGGATGCTATGTCTCCCCCCAAAAAAAATTATTATTATATATGTATATACAGTGATCACTTTCTTGGCATGGTCCAATTTCTTTGAAGAAGTAATGGTTGTAAAGACATTTGTAGTTTGCATTCTTTTTGTAGGCCAAGACAAGTGCATTGAGGTTCACTGTATTGTTGGATCTTATTACTAAGTACAAGCTCTACCTTTTAGTAGTAGATGTGTAAAGATTGGCTGAGACTTTAAGCAAAAAATGTCAAACAAGGCTTTTAAATATAATTAAAAAAATGATTTTGTTAACCTTTGAGAATAATTAGGTAATAATAGTAAAATTTTATTAGAAAGAAAAGTATTTATTATATTTTTATGACTTCAATCAATAACTGTATACTTTTTTTTATAAAAATTTTCTATTTGTGGATGCTTAAACTCAGCTTTAAGAGCCAAAGTTAATAAAACCCTTAAAAAAAATCTTAAAAATAAATAAAATTTACCTTTTAGAAGCTTATTTGATAAGTTTTTTTTACTGTACTCATTATTACTTTACACTCCATTGTTAAATAAAGCAATGAGCATAACATACATAACATATTTTTCTTTTAACATATGAGGAACATCATAGTATTTTTGTTAGAATGAAGAAACAAAGTAAGAAAATTTATTTCTTTATTATTTTTGTTCACTGTTATAGCATATTAGTATGTGTAATATAAAAAATATGAAATGTAGATATAACTTTTTTATATGCTATCAATTAGTTACTTATTTTAATGTTTTATAATTATGTATTTTGATTTAAAATATGCAATTTTTTTTATATTGAGCTTTAGAGATGTTTAAGAAAAAATCATAGACTCATTTTTTAAGAGAAAAGAGAAGATAGATGATGAAATAAATTTAGTCTATCAAATTTAAATTCAATAATTAATATTAAAAATGTTGTTGAGCAATCTATAATGTGAATTACTAATCAACTTGTTTAATAACCTCCTTCCAAAATTATGAGGATTGAAGATGAAGAAATTAATATTGATATTTTGACACGTGATGATGGAAATAATCCACAAATTTGGTATTTTTAGTATTTTTCTATCAATTGAAAAGATGAAACTCGTAGGGCATATATGAGATTTGGACCATATCATTTTTTTTAATGGATGTGTATCCCTTTTTTAATTTAGACAATCATCCTTATTGATTTCAAGGTAACTAGTTCAAAAGTTTTCCTTAGTTAGAAAGTATTCAATACAAGTAGATGCTGCATTTTGTCTTCCATACTATTTATTTTCTAGAAAATCTACTCCATTCACTCTAGGAGGATTTAGAAAATGTGAAAGAAGTGAATAATGAAAAATATTGTGCATTTTCATCTATGATGGAAACATCTCCTAATTCTCATCACAATGTTACTATTAAATGTTGTGAAGACTTGAAGAACCAATCATGTCATATTGACAAAGTGCTATCTAAGCATACTTTATAACAAATTGGTGTCATCTTAAAGTTTCTATTG